ACCCGGGCCTTGAACACTGCCAGGGATGGGACATCTCCCACCTCTCGGTGTCCCACCACCCTGACAAGGAAGAACTTCCTCCTAAGGTCCCATCCATCTCAATCTTCCCTTTGGCAGGTTAAAGCCATTCCCCCTTGTCCCATCCCGCCAGCTCCTCATCCAAAGCCCTTCTCCAGCTCTCCTGCAGCCCCTTTGGGCGCTGGAAGCTGCTCTGATGTTTCCTCAGAGCTTTAAGGTCCCTTCTAACCCGTTCCATGCTACTCGGACACTCAAGTGGACACCCAGCAGAAGTTTCCAGCTCTTCAGCTGTGGCCACCACTGAGAAGCCAAGGTGAAGCGTGACCAACTCACCTTGGTCCTTGTACACGTGGCCGGCCACATGGACTCCAGCCCATCCTCTTTGTTGTAGGTGCTTCAGTCTTTCCTCTACCACCTCGGTGATATCCAGGAAGTTCTCATCAAAGCCAAGCCTCTCCACCAGAGGACAATACTGCCCCAGCAGCTCTAGGAGGAGAAGACAGCCGAGGATGACATGGACACACCTGATCCCACGATGTCTACATGGCTTGGAAGGGACCTCCAAGCTCATCTAGTTCCAACAGGGCCACCTTCCACTACAGCAGCTTCCTCCAAGCTGGCCTTGACCACTGTCAGGGATGGGACAACCCATTCCAATGTCCCACCATCCTCATGGTGAAGAACTTCTGCCTAAGACCCCATCTCAATGTCCTCTCTGGCAGGTTCAAGCCATTCCCCTTTGTCCCATCCCTCCATCCCTTGTCCAAAGACCTTCTCCAGGTTTCCTGGAGCCCCTTTAGGCCCTGGAGCTGCTCTAAGGTGTCCCCTTGAGGAGCCTTCTCTTCTCCAGCTGCCCCAGCCCAGCTCTCTCAGCCTGTGTCCATAGAAGAACTTCTGCCCCACGAGGGTGGTGGGACACTGGGATGGGTTGAAGGGAGAAGCTGGGGCTGCCCCCGCCCTGGTAGTGTTCAAGGCCAGGTTGGAGCAACCTGCTCTAGGGGGAGGTGTCCTTCTAGAGCAGGAGAACATCAGATGCTACTACAGATGCACACGGAGCGTAACCCAAAGGGGTTGCCCTCTACCTGTGACCTTGTAGGACATTTCCCTGTAGGGAGTGAGATCTTCTCCATTAACCAGCACCAAGTGAGGACACTTCTCTTTAGCCTCCTTGAGAGCCATCAGCTTCTTTACTCCGTGTTCCCTGGCTTCGTAGTTACACGTAACAACAAGGGCTTTCTGTTGCACACCTAAAACCAAGAGTAAATTGGGAGTAACGCTGAGGTTCTCGGCACTTCACTGAGGTCTGCTCAGAGAAGATGCTTGGAGGCCCACCACTGGAGGAGGAGGAAACCAACCCACCCAAATCTTCCTCTACAAGAGCACGAGGAGGCCAAATCTGACGCCTCAAAGTGCACTTTTACTCTGGGCTTTCTCCACTGAGTAGCCACTACTACCTGCCACGTCATTCCTTCCTAAGTCCTGGCTGGAACGGAGCATTCCTTAAGTAAGCTCAACCTTCAAGCCCCCAACCTGCTCCGACACGTCAGGAAGCGCCTCTACTTGTGCTCCCGAGGGTTTAGTAATCCCGTAGTCCCAACTACACGGTGCTTTGCTCGTGTATCTCACCACACGTAGGTCCTTCTACAAAGAGTGAAGGAACTCCTACCTAAAGGCTTGTCTCTTAGGTCAGGAGCACGGATCATCTCCACTTGGGCGTAGAAACAGTCCAGGTCAAGGTGGACAATGACTCTACTCCGTGCTGAGGAGGACATGCTCTTCCTCCCTCCAAGGAGTAAAGGAAGAGTTTCAGAGCGATGGCGCCACGCCGTGTTCAAGTCATCCATAGGAATGAAGAGCTACTCTAAGGTTACGTCAGCGAGTAAGTCGGCCACAGCAAAGCTCGCTACTAAAGAGGCTTTTTGGAGGGGTTCTTGGGTTTGGGATTCACCGCGGGGTTTTGGAATGTTGCTTTAGGGATCCAACATCCTTCTTGTGGCGGTATTCCTGATGGATCCTGTGCCTTTGAGGCCATTAAGAGCGCTCCGCTGGAGATCTGGGCACTGGGGATGGGAAGTCACCAAGATGAGATGGGAAGGAGAAGGGGAAGGGAAGGAGAAAGGGAAGGAGAAGGGGAAAGAGAAGGGAAGGAGAAAGGGAAGGAGAAGGGAAGGAGAAGGGAAGGAGAAAGGGAAGGAGAAGGGGAAGGGGAAGGAGAAGGGAAGGAGATGGGGAAGGCAAGGAGAAGGGAAGGAGATGGGGAAGGGAAGCTGAAGGGAAGGAGAAGGGAAGGAGATGGGGAAGGAGAAGGGGAAGGAGAAGGGGAAG